GAATTAATAATGGTAAAAAATGTATACATTATATATATATATTTCTATTAATCATTTTCGGCCTTTTGGCATTCGGTTTTCGGCCACTGTTTCCTATTTTCGGTATCGGTTTCGGCCAAGAATTTCCCATTCGGTGCACCCCTAGTTAAAATAATCAACCTCGTATAATGATCATTTTGACCCTGCCAGGTGTGATGACTACAAGAAGTTCTACTGATATCTGCCCTTGTGCTGGTTGTGTGTCCCACAAAAAATCTATCTATTTTGTAACGTCATGAGAAAGACTTTTTTTTACAACATGTTGGTTGATGGCTTAACTGTTGCCTGCCTCCACCTAGTTGGCATCGCGTGCAGGTGAAGGGGATTCTGGCCAACGGCTTGGTTTCTGTCTTCGAGTTGGACTATGGCAAACATGAGCTGGTCCGCAGCACTTTCCTCCGGCCTCTGATCGAGGAATTCAGACAGCTGCCCTTCCAGGCTATCACTGCACAACTGGCAGGTGAGTCCCATCATAAGGCTCTCCTACAAATATGTATTTTTTTGTCTTTGATTATGTAAAGAGATGCGTTTGGATTACAAAATTTTTGCTCTGCAGGTACGACGCAGCGCCAGTGGTCGGAGGAGGCCTCCATGTTGTTCAGGAACCACGTGGAGGACCGAGCGCTGGTCGCCCAGGTGGAGAGTGTGTGCGAGGTCAAAGGTGAGCTCTGGGAGCGGAGGTTGTCGGTTTACCTGGTGGACACTACAACTGAGGAGAGGGACCTGTGGATTCACAGCCTCATGGCCGACATTGGCGGAGAGCTGTCGTCGGCTGCCTAGGACTTCTTATCATGCACCATGGTAAACAATTGTATCTTTTCTGCTTCTTTACAAATGGTGAACTTTGAAAGCCACAAGTTGGTTTCTCTGCCCTCGGTTTGTTTTCAGCGTTCTGGATGGATCTCCTAATCAAAGACTTTGAATAAGCACGTTTGAATGTTTCTGTATTATTGTTAAGGGCCATGTCAACGTGAGACAGGAGGGGATTTTTGAGTTACCTATATGTTGCTTGTTTTGTCTTTGCACTATTAAATTCCACCATCTGATTTGTTCTTGTTTGCTGTGCTTAATGCATTCTGCTGTGTGGTTTACTTTGCTTAATTTTGTTAATATGTTTTTACATTAATCAATATTAAATGACTTGACAGCCCTTATCTACATTTGTGTTTGAACCTCTCTTGGCTGACAATAAGTTGTAATGTTTTACTGTTTCAACATTAAAGTTGTTGGTTAGCACACACACACACACAGCTGCTCCACTCTCAGGGCCTTAACACACTAACATCATCCAACATGACTGTGGAGGTGATGGAGATGCCCTCTGCTGGTGGAGAAATTATAAGACTGCAGTCACAGTACTGAATCCTGATTGGATGACCGCAGATCCTGGTTAAAATGACTGAGAAGCTTTACAATTCTCTATTATTCATATGTTTTAGTCCTTACTTACAGGGAATACGTTTTGGGTAATAAAAAAAACATAAGATTTTCCTTTTTTTTTACCAAATCTTAGAAAAGCAGAGTGTCTAAAGATGATTTGTGTATTAAAGCTTTAGAATTAAAAAGATCTTGACAAAACAATTGAGCAGATGCTTGATGGCTTGAAGATAGCCAGTTGTACATTTCTGCTGTGGTTCAAAATCTGATTTGTTTATCTCCAAATCATAAAAAAAAATGACAATCTGTTGTCTCAATTCTTTTAAATGTATTAACCTAAAAAATCATATTTTCACAACTTAATTATATGTATTACACAATACATGTATTAATTGATTAAAACTAAATTAAAGAGTTTAATAACATCACTTAAAGGTCACCTATTATGCAAAACTTCCCTGTTTTTTATGTCTTTTATATATAAATGTGTCCCCGGTGTGTAAGGAGAGAAACATAAAGTTTCAGAAAATACAACCCTCTCTCATTTCCTCCTTACCCACATCTCTAAAAACGCGGGTACAACGGAGTTGATCCAGATTTGCTGCGTACTTGACGTTAAATTGGAAATGTGTGCTGGCTTTACATTGAACTCCTGGCAACGTCCCAACCTATCGTCCCCATAAACAAGCTGGATGCCAATTGTAGTGTGCAGAAATTAGCCAGATAGAAGACTATTTTAGTTAATTTGATATATTTTCATGTTGTGACCTATTTACTCAAAGTAGAAAATCCAAATATTCATATGAAATAGAAGAAGCACTAAAGTACATTAAATATAAATAGTAATACAATACTGCATGTTGATTTGTCTTCACAGGATCACGTGATATGGAAGCAATATAGAAATCCAAGAGTTTTGTTGAAAAACAGCAATTTTCTTAAAATATTCTAAGAAGAAGCTCTAAAATCTAAGAACACAAATTGTTTTATCGTCAAAGTAATTATATTGGTATGGATTGGGATTAACTGGTTCAGATGACATGTAAACTATTGGAAAAAAAACTGAACCAATCTCTTTTTTGTCAAACCAATTCTGCAACGATAACAAACTGTCTCGCGTTGTTCAAAATTACATTAAGGAGCACGCTTGTACATATTTCACGTTATAGTTTATTAAATGATGGAGAAAGGTGTCCGATAATGGACACAGTTCCACTGGATGACATCACTGGAGTGACAGGGCAGCCGTGTTGGGGGGAGGAAGGGGAGGAGGAGGATCTCTCCACATAAGTTTACTTTGCCCTTTACGGGAGACGAGTTTCTGCCTCCGTAAACCCGCCGAGAGACGAGCACTGACGGGGGAGGAAACTGAGCACGCTGAGAAATCTGCTGCATTCGGGATTATCTGGACGCTTTCTGCTGGTTTGGAGTTTTCTGCGGATTCCCGGTTTTTGCGCGTGCTGCAGAGCGGACCGCGCGGCGCGACTCCAGGCGGCTCTGAAGGAAACCATATCTGGTCAAAGTATTCGTTGCTGTCACCCAGCGGGACTGTCCGGCTATAAATAGCGCTGGAGGAGGTACGGAAATAAATGCAAAAATGATACTGCAGCCTGTAAAACAGTCAAATGCGTGAAGTTCACAATATCTTGGTTAAAATAATGTGCAGGAGAACACCTAAAAGAAAGCTGGGAGTAATCCGGTTCCTCCATGTCTTTGAGTATAAAGGGGGCTCCTCCAGAAACACTGAATAGTTGTTCTTAATGTCACTGCCAGTATTTTCCTACCTGTTGGAGAATATCTTATTGGCTGTTGTAGGCTCCACTCTTGATATAATGGCCCTCAGCAAGTCCTAACCCTAAAGCCCTACATAGATGAGGTCTTTAATGCAGTCCTTATCACATACAAGTGCAACTTGATACAAATAAATCAGTAAAATGTTCTGTTATGGCACATTTGACCCCAGTGATACAATTGGTTAGTGTGTATTAGTGATTGTACATATTCTCAATATAGCTTGCGGTATCTCTTAACGTCTGTAAAAACTTTAGTAAAAGTCACTGCAACAACAACATACTTTTGAGCAAAAGCTTGAGCTAAATTGGTTCATTTTCCAAGGTTTTTGATGATTTAAAAAAAAATACACCATGTATAATCAGGATTACAGTTCTACTCTAGTGAGATGGAACAGTTGGCGGCTGACATGTTGGATGTCAGTTCCTCTGTGACCTAAATGCATCACTGTAGAGTAAATTGAACCCTGTAACCTTTGTTACTTGCTACATTTTGGTTGTCCACTTACTTTCCTTGAGTATAGCCATGCATACTCTTGTGGTTCACTGACGACACAAAACTCAATCTTTAGTCGCCTCACTTTAAGTTTTGAGCTCGCTGTTGCGGAGTATTTAATCAGCATCTTCTCTTGGATATGTATTGTATAATCGCACTAGCCATCTTGAAACGAAACTCCGATCAGTGACACACATAACTTTTTGACCTTTGCAGAAGGCACCAAATAGTCGGTCCTCAGGCCCCTTGTTATAATCTTTATGATATAGGCCTACGACTGGTCCCCAAAGTGGAGACTAACGACACAGCACACATAACCATGGGTTTAGTTTGCTCCATAAAGTGGCAGAATGAGATCATTTCTAAAAACAATGCTCGGTGGATTTCACACACTAATATCAATCAATGATAAGAACTTGAAAAAGAAACCTGTGGTCTACTAATCTATTTTGGTAAGCATATCTATGCATTTCACTTGTACTCACAACTATGTAAGTGGACACCCTTGTTACTGTCACAGCAGAAAACACACACACACACACACACACACACACACACACACACACACACACACACACACGCACACACTCTCTCTACTGTAGCTTATCAAAGCCACAGGCAGGGGAAAGCTGACCAGTTGCCTCTCAGCTGTTTTATGCTGGAAGATTTCAGAGACCATTCTAACAACTGCAATCCTGCGAAAAAAGTTTACATAGACATCCTACAAATGTTGAAACAACACTTGAATTCATAAACAACAGAAGATTGATAGCATGAAGCATGATGTCTTATACATGATTTATCCCTCTAGGAATGTTGTTAGTAGCGGGTTAGTATTCTCAGGTTGACCAGATTAGGACATTTATTCCTCATTATTATCATTGCTTATGACTGGTATCTGTCATTGGAACCTCTTTTATATGGATGAAACTGAAAATTGTTTTCATTATCGATTAATCTGCAAATTATTTTATGTTTTAATCGATTATTTGTTTAGTTTAGACAAATGTCCATCATAGTTTTTAATGAAAATAGTGTTAACTGGACTCAAACATGAAAGCAATATATCTTTTACCTCTCAAACTGAAGAAGTTTTAAGTGGAATACTCACACGACACTTACTGTACATGTGATTGTTTATCAGGACAATGGGAGCTGTTTGAAGACATTAAGCAGGAAGTTGTCCGCTGAATCATCTAAATATCCACTGCAGTGCCCTCAACTCTGTTTTATGTTCAGATTTATTGGCTGAACAAATCTTTGGCCTCTCTATGAGCATGTGAGTTTTTCGGAGATATGTTTTACAACTGAAAAACTTGGAGCAGGGTTTACAGTTAAAATCAAACTGAAATATATACAAATACAATTTCTGGTAGAGCAGGCACTCAGAGCATTTTGTTGCAGGAAAGCTGACTTTTGCAAATCAGGTTTAAAACATGTTTAATCTACATCAATTAAAAAGTTTCACACACATCAAACTTGATGAATGGTTCTGCTGCTATTCTTGGAGACTTGAGGACTGGACAAGTTTAGAGGTCAGGGTTCAAGTAAAGTGTTTATAACTTTATAGGGTACATTCTAACTCAGGTCAAATTTAATTGTCTTTCCTCTCTACCCACTGAATGTCCTCCAATGAAGCAGAAGCTTGTAATAACGTTATAAATACAAGCACGGGTCTGTTTGACATCATCACAGCAGGTCGCCCTCTTCCAGCAGACTTGCAGTGTTATTTGGAATAGAGCCCAGTTCTTCATTTTTGGTTTTGGAAACTTGTCCTGTTGTGGAGCTTAAAGAAAGCAGAACAAAAAAACAGCACGCTTGACTCCACCTGTTAGGAGGTTAGTCAAAACACACTTGCTGTCATACTTAAGATCAAAAAGGAATATCTTCCCTTCTTGAATGGAAGTTCTTTGCAGGTTGAGTTTTTAGGCTCCATCACAACCCTTTTTCTTCATTTGAGATCATTCTCATCCTTTGATGCAGGCTCAGTGTAGTTATTATTAGTGTTGTCATGTGGACATCTATCAGCAGCAGCTCACAAAGCATTTTGAACCCTGACCCATAGTTTTAAGGGACAGTGGCTTAGAGCTGTTACCCACAAATGTTCTGCTGCTGCTCATCTATCATCAGTTATCTGGACTGCAAAGTAGACAATGAGAGAGAAAGAAAACAGATCTTCCATCTGTCCATATTGTTGGCAGAGTAGGAGAGAAAAATAAATGAACTTTTTGGGATAAGATATTTAGTGTATCCTGTGTTGACTTTTTCATTTTTCTGCAGCGAGCTTTGAGAAAAAACAGCACTTCCTGCAGTGATTCATGGCGGAGGGATCAGTGACAGGATATCATTCTGGGAGGACATAGAGCATCTGCGTGCTTATTGAGATTTGGAGTCTTAGAATCTCATAAAAGGGAGTGGGACATTCTTTAGCTGCTGCAGCAAGTCACACTGCCTCTCTCGTGGTTTCCCTTTTCCAAATGAGTAGGCCTAGATGAGGCAAACCGTAGACAATCAACCATTTTTTTATTTCAGATATATTCAAGCCATTAAACTAGAAAGATAGTCTGAGAGCGGATCTCCGCCAAGGCAAAATGCCTTGTCTCACAATGTAAACAACATTGAAAAATAATCCCTTTCTCTTCACATTGATTGTTGAAATGTAATGGATTCTTCTTTTGCCATACAACCATATCTATTTGTTTTGTAATCCTGGTTGAGATTAATAAACCAAAATTCTAGCAATTAATTGATATTGCCAGGTGTTACCTTAAATTACATCATGTACCCTCGTAATTTATGGAAGATTTTAGATTGATGTTATTAAATACAGTCATTGAATATCATTACCACTCTTCTATCACTATGTTAAATACTCTATGAAGCTACAATTAACAGCCAGTTAGCTTAGCTTAGCAACAATTGTGGAAACGGAGGGAAACAGCAAGCCTGGCTCTGACCAAAGGTAACAGAAACCATCAATCAACTCTAAAGCTCATCGATTCAAATGTTTCATCATGTTATGCAAACATAACAATTGGCCATTGTATGGGGGTAGCCAACAGGTGCAGATTCCTGGAAGTTACTGCTCCTAGTCAAGAAATTGTCTGGACAGCGCCAGGCTAGCATTTACAGTTGGTGTGCTAAGTTTAGCTAGTTGTAGAGCCAAGAGAGTGTTATCAAACTATCATCTAACTCTTGTTTTTGCTCCCCAAAATATCAAACTATTGCTTTGAGACCAGTTTGTTTCCTTAAAGAAATCCTGCTAACAAATATGTGACACTAGCTGTCTACTCTGAAAACATAATGCTTGTAGCACATAGCTAACCAAACGCTTTTATGTGCAAATGGAATACTATCGGAAAATTAGATGTAGCTATGCTGTTAGTTACTTTAGGAAAAAGTGAAGAAGCTGAAATAAAAAAACACAGAAAGCTGTGAAATATAATGCTTAATATCTTCCTCCATAAATGACTGAGTGTATCTATTGCTTTTTCATTTTAAGGTCAATTAATCTCTCTACACTCTTCTTCTTCCTCTTCCAGGTCCATCTCAGGAGCGTGACAGGCACTTGGCTGCCTTTGCTGTTATTTTACCCCTGAGCCAGGGGTCATTGAGGTAAGTGCATTCAAGTTTTATTTTAACTCCACATAAAATGACTCTTGCCATAGTAATGTTTTTGTTTGTCAAAAACAGTCAGCTATGCTTGTCTCTCATCTCAAACCCTATGTTATTTGACCATTCATTTGAGGGATTTCGCTGTTGATTTGATCGACAGATTATTTTTCTCAAAGTGTAGGGTCTTGCAGGCTCCTGATCTCCTACATTTGGCCTTTTCCTGTTTGGAGGGGTGATTGAGGTGAGGGAACTATTTGAATACCTCCAAGATCCCTTTGTTTATTTGTATAATATATTTTTTCCCTGGAGGCACTTAATCTTATGTTACAAAGGTTTGGTTTAATTATACCACCTCAAGTTATTTTAGGTACAAGAAATGTAAGTGTACGATCTGTGTTATAAATTATTGTTAAAGCCCACTGTCATTGAAAGAAATGAAAAGTAAGTTGGTTAAAATGTTCTACCCAAACGTTTATTTTATGGTATAAAAACCTTACATTCCTGTCAATAATGTGGCTATTTATTATCATGTTGAATTGAGAGTGGGCCTATCCATGTTTTCAGGTGTCCATCATGTCGGTTATGAAGAAGGAGATGGATAAGTACAGGGACATAGACGAGGACGAGCTGCTGAAGAAACTGTCAGAGGAAGAGCTGCAGCGATTAGAGGATGAATTAGAGGAGCTGGATCCTGATGTAAGTTTATAGTATGAAGTCCATAAAGAGTTTATGTCGCTGTGTTGGTGTCAGTGGAGTGTGAGGTGGTCTTACAGGCTAAACAGAGGCCCCTGACTATGCTGTATATTGCTATAACTAAATAGCTGTGTGATATAATCTGAAATACTGTTTACTGTAATTTTTTCATCCACTCAAACAAGTGCAAAAGATTAATGCTCGTGAAACTATGAGTAATCTTGAATCCGTTACACAGTAATAGTACAGTGGCAGCTAATGCACTTTGCTTTGTATGTAGTGTACGGAAGACCAGCCAATCAAAAACCTATTTACTAGCAGTCAGTTGGCAGTAAGTGTAACTGCACAATGAGGCAGCATGGAGTTAATATTACAAGCAAGAAAAAAAGCCAGACATTGGTGGTTCTAGCTTCTCAGATATGAGGCTCCATCCTTGTACATTGAAGACGTTTAGTTTTGAACTGTTAGTCAGTCATCATAACAAACAATAGAAGATGACAATGTCCCCTTTTGTTGTCCAGAATAGTCATTCACTTTTTTTTGGTGCTATTTCCCTTAAAGAAATATCAATAATAATTTGTACTTATATGTCTGAGGAAGTATGGGGAACAGTGTATGGGGAAACGTATGTGTCTGATTTTGTTATGATGCTTGCTTTGCTCAAGATTACGGTAATAATTGTTGTATTTGATGAATCAACCTCCAGGTTTGTACCCTCAGTGATGTTTCATGGGTGGAGATGGTGACAGCAGCTGTAATAGCTTTGTGATGACTCTCCAACTGCTCATAAAGAGGCTGGATATCCCCTCAATGCCAGGGAATGACTGGAAGGGTATAATGTGCAGAACTCAGTGTGTGTGTGTGTGTGTGTGTGTGTGTGTGTGTGTGTGTGTGTGTGTGTGTGTGTGTGTGTGTGTGTGTGTGTGTGTGTGTGTGTGTGTGTGTGTGTGCGCGCATGTGTGTGTGTGTGCGCGTGTGCGTGTGCGTGTGTGTGTGGGAGCGAGACTGATGCCAGCAGGGAGTGACCGAAGTTCCTTCATGACGTAAACAGAGGAAATAGTCAGAAGCAGTGCGTGCTTACCTTGTTTGTGCCTGTTTATGAGGGTAACCCATTGCACAACAGTGAAGTGCCCACTCTAACCTTCCCAGTACTTCCCATGTCAGTTCCAGTAAGACATTAAAAAAAAAAACAGCATGCTTGCAAACTGTACTGCGGTAGTGAGATTCATTTATTGTCGATGATCTTGAGAATACTTTGTGTTTTTGTGCATACTGTACAGTATTGTCTTTCAATGACCCATTCCAACTTGGAATGGGTCATACAGTACTGTTTACTTTTCTAAGACATGACATACAGTACTGTTTACTTTTCTAAGACATGACATACAGTACTGTCACTTTATAACTAAAGACTTGTTGTGACATCTTTGAATTAAAGCTCTTACATTTAAATCTGGGAAAGTTTAAATAAAATGTATCTAGATTACTGGTAAAAGCTTGGAGACAGGTAAAAAAAAAAGGACACATAGTAGTAAAGTAAGTGACAGGAGAGAAAGACAAAGTCTCATGCTGGTAAAAATAAAATGCTCCAAGTGTGCCTGTTATCTAAGGCTGATACAACGTGTGACATTAAGAGCTTGGCAGTGACGATGTGATATACTCCTGGCTTTACTATAAATACTGCTTTAAGTCATGTGAACACTTACCGACCACTACTGGAAAGACCACATTTGAAAAACTGACTTTAAAAGAGTACATTTAAACCCAAGTTATCATGTAACTAGTCTGACACTGGCACTTGTTTGGTTTGTTTTTGTAAATTGTTTGCTGGCCTTGAGTCAAAGCGTTTAAGAGAGACACAGTCATGAGGAGAGAGCGCTGAGAGGAAAGATAAGATATGAAGCTATAAGTAGCATTCGTAAGAGCTTGGTTTGAATGCTGCTATGGGTTGAGCATAACGTAGGGACCAGTAATGCTCTTGGAAATCTCTGGGTCCTGTTTTAGGCTGGAGTTGTAGTTAGGGACTGATGTGGGAGTTAAATTAAACAGAGCTCAGTCGATATCACTTTGCTCTAATACTGTAATACTTGTGTAACATGTTTTCAAATGTGATGCAAAAATGACCATATTACCGTTGGGCTTAATTTTGGTAGTGTTTTTTGTAGTAGAGTATTCTGCCACTGGGATTTGTTTGCTTCTTTTAAATGTAAACAAATACATTACATTACTAGTGTTATTTGCATTTCATGGTTTATTTTTTTAATTTAGGGGGTTAAAGGTATTGTGTATTCTTATTTCCAAAGGCAAAATCTAGAAGAATTAACCGTTTTTCATTTAAAAAAAGACTGAAGTTGAATATTAACTACCGTACACCTTAATCACCACATGTATAAAGTATTTGTTCTTCGTCTCTAAATGTGTAGTTGTTTCTCCTTCTTCGGCCCTGATGCAAGATACTACAGCACTTAACCGCTATGATAGGAAGAAAGAAATTAGATACAATCAGTATCACTCCTTAACTGATGTAAACTCTTGTTTGTCTAGAATGCGTTGTTGCCTGCTGGGATGCGGCAGAAGGACCAGACCAAGAAAAATCCGACTGGGACATTTCAGAGAGATAACCTGCTAGCCCATCTGGAGAAACAGGCCAAAGAGGATCCTGAGCAAGAAGACCTGGTGCCTTTCACAGGGGAGAAGAGAGGTACAATCTGGGTTTCTCATCATTTTGGGATGTGACGGAGCCGCTTTGAGGCCATAGTAGTTGCACTCAAAAAAGAGTAAACCGCTTTGGCCATTTCATACGTTGAAATGTTTAAAGAGGCCCGATTATGCTTTTTTGGGTTTTCCCTTTTCCTATGGTGTGTTATATGTTTTTGGGTGCCCGATTGGACTCCTGTTTTTACTTCCATAACATAGTGACATCTCTATTGGCTAGCGCTTTAACACATTGTACGTGATAGGGGACGGGACATCTCAAGGCAGTTGACCAATCACAACAGAGCCGGCCAGCTAACCAATCAGAGCACACTGGAATCTGGTTTCAGACAGAGGGTGAAAAGAGCAGTATATGCAAGCACTTTTTGTTAACATTAAAGCATGTAAACATGTCATCGTACAGGCACAAAATACAATGATGAAACTTGAAAATGAGCATAATGCGGCCCCTTTAATCTACTTGGGTCTTTGGACCGCAGACAAAGTTTAAGTTCCTTAAAAAGCTCTGGCTCTACTTATCAGGTGGTTCTGTCTGGGTGTTGCCTTAATGCACTTGTATTCTTAAAAGACTTGTCCCACACACTGACCTCCTTTTCCCCTCTCTCTCCAAGTGAGGTTCTTACCCTCGTTACCTCTGCCCGTCCTACCACCTGTCCTCTGGACCCTATCCCCTCAAACCTCCTTCAGACTATCGCTCCTGATATTCTACCGTTTCTCACCCATTTCATCAACACTTCTCTAACTTCTAGTCACTTTCCAAACAGTCTCAAGGAGGCAAAAGTAAACCCTCTCCTAAAGAACCCACTCTCAACCCGTCTTGATGTTATAAACTACAGGCCTGTCTCTTCTCTCCGTTCCTGTCTAAAACCACTTGAAACGCGCTGTTCTTTAAAACAACTCTCCTAGTTTATCTCCATCAGAACAACCCTTCTGGAGTATCCGCACCAGTCTGGTTTCAAGGCAGGTCACTCAACAGAAACTATGCCTCTCCTTGCTGTGCTCTGAGGAACTGCACACGGCTAAAGCAGCTTCCTCTCCTCTGTCATCATCCTTCTGGACCTGTCTGCTGCATTCGGACACGTGTGAACCATCAGATCCTCCCTTCGCACTCTCCAAGAACTTGGAGTTTCAGGCACTGCACTTTCCCTCCTACCTCAATACCTCAAAGAGACGCACCTACAGTCAGGTACTGTGGAGAGGGTCCGAGTCCGACCCTTGTCAATTAACCTACCAAGGGTCCCTCAGGGCTCTGTTCTTGGTCCTCTCTCTTTCTCCTTGGAACCACAAACTCCTCGCTGTCATAGCCTGCATGTTTCATACCACTGCTAATGCGACGACACCCAACTAAATTCTGTCCTTTCCCCGCTCAGAGACCCAGGTCGTCGCACGCATCTCTGCTTGCTTAGCAGATATCTCTCGGTGGATGTCTGCTCATCACCTCAAGCTCAACCTTGACAAGACTGAACTGCTTTTCCTTCCGGGAAAGAATGTCCCCACTTCTGACCTAACAATCAACATCGGCACCCTCTGTTGTTTCCCCGACTCAGACTGCAAGGAATCTGCAGTATGGTGGGTCCTAGATAACAAACTGTCCTTACTGCAAACATTGCTGCACAACCCGCTGCTGCAGATACCCACGCTTTACAACCATCAGGCGGATTTACGTCCCCAGCTGGACCCAGAAATACAGCGCAGGCTTGTCCAGGCTCTCGTCTCTCCACGCCACTACAATGCAACCCCTCCTGGTCTGGTCTACCTGATGTGCGCATCCGACCTCTGCACTCATCCAGAATGCAGCGGCTCGTCTGGTCTTCATGACTTCCAAATATCTCCCACACCACGCCGCATCCTCCGCATCACTTCACTGGCTTCCATGGTAACTGCTAGAATCCACTTCAAGACACTGTACTTGCACCATGCTGCGAATGGATCTGGCCCTTTTCCTACATCCAGGACATGTTAAACTGTACAACCACAGCACTCCGCTCTTTGCATCAAGGCCAAACAGCTCGCATGCACCCGCACTGCGAGGGGGACCCAATTTCCCATCAGTCAAAAATCACGTGGGTCTTGCTATCGCGGCTCCAGAATGTGTGGTATGAGCTCCCCCATTGAAATCAGACGCAGAAAGCTGCAGATCTTCTCGGCGCAGACTGAAAACTCATCTCTTTCGACTCCAACTTCGAACGCAATAGATTACTAAAAAAGACTTATATCCTAATAGAAGGCATGGCTTATCTAAAGCCCAGTTTGAAGGTTAGCACCTGAAATGTTGGCTCTATGAAACCTGATGCATATATGATTCTGTTTTTCTTCAAGGTTGGTATACTTCCCGGGTCGAATGTTACTTTTGTAAGTCGACCTGTCTGGATTAAAGCGTCAGCTAAATGCAATGTAATGTAATGAATAACTGTAAGACAAGTAACGGTTCTTTCACAGACCAGCTGTACCTGAATCAGTTAAACGATATTAATGGAGTCAATGGTCTTCATGTGGACCACCAGTGAAAAAATAAGCAGATTGGGTACACGCAGTTTTCTGCAAACTGTGTAAACAGTATATCATTATTAACACTTCTCGTCTTTTTCTCACCATCTGCTGAGACCAGGCCTACTACAGGTTGCACCAAAGCTGGAGCTTGAAACTGGATGTTACTCGTACACAACTCTTAAAGTGTGTTCACCAACCTGGATGGGTGCAAGTCGGTATTAATTAGGGGTCCAGGGAGGACTTGGGAGCATTTGTCAGTTAGCTTGCTAAGCCGCTCTGGTTAACAATCTCGGCCAAGTGCTCACTGTGGGGGTCAAAAACCATACCTGGCTTGAAATCGAGGAGCTGACCTACACATCTGACCTGTCCAGCATTACAGTCAGCCTAGTGGTCAAGGAGGGTGTGTGATGGAGGGATACTCATTAAAGTAAGGGTTAGATTTCATATTAAAAATCAGTATGTTCCCCGAAGACTATATCTAGTTTTTTTCTGGTTTGATTTGTCTCAGTCTTGAAAGTGTGGTAGCTAGAATCATATGAGGATATCATATGCATATGGAACGAAATGTAAAGTGGTTCATAGTAGTGCTTGTATTCGGATTAAAACCATCCATCAAGACTGTTGCAGGGAAAGCCTTTGTGCCGAAGAAAGATGGTGGACCCCATCATGGAGAATGTGACTCTTGGAGACCGAAGCTGGAAGAGCATGCGCGG